TAAAACCTCAACAACAATGATGAAAAGGGATGGGTATATGGGATCACCTTGTTTAAGATCTTGGGAAGAAGTATAGAATCCATGTCTAGTACCCTTCACAATTATAGAGTACCACACATTAGAGATACTTCTCCAAATCAAATTACGCCAATCATCATTAAAACCAAACCTACATAACACCTTATTAAGAAAGGGCCATGATAATCTGTCATATGTTTTGGCCATGTCAAGTTTAAGAACAACATTTCCTCCATTATTGAGATTAGGTATACCATGAATTATTTCTTGAGTGAGCATTACATTATCAGTGATTGATCTCCCAGAAACAAAACCACTTTGATTTTTAAAAATTAATCCCCTTAAAAGAGGATTCAATCTTTAGCCATAATCTTAGAGATGATTTTATTAATATATTTACTTAGGCTAATCGGTCCCAATTCTGCAAAGCTAGTGGGAGAATCAATTTTGGGAATTAAAGTGAGACAAATATGTGTTTAGAATTTGGTTAAAGATTTACCAGAGAAGTATTCTTTAATTAAGGCAGTAATATCAATTTTTATAATATTCCATCAAGTTTGAAAGAACATACCATTGAACCCATCAGGTCCTGGGGAGCTGTCCTTGCTCATGCTGAATATTGCTTGCTTGATTTCGTCCTCATCAGGCATACTGGTCAACATAAGATTGTCTTGTGCAGTAATGATTTGAGGTATGCAATCTAGAATATTGTTGTCTCTTTCGCTGTGATTCAAATTGAAGTGCTTCCAATAGTATTTGACAACAACCTTTGCCACCTTATCATCTCCTTGCACCCATCTGCCTTTATGATTTCTGATTCTTTGTATGTGTAGTCTCCTTCTTCTACTTCTCAGAACACTATGAAAATATTTGGTGTTTTTGTCACCATCTTTAAACCATTGAAGCTTTGTTTTCTATTTCAGTATGGAATCCTACATGTTGAGCCATCTGGTATATTCAACATACCCCTTGTTCAAGTCTTCTCTTCCTTGTTCAGTATTGTGCATAATGTCCAATTCCTCTAAAATTTCAATAAGCTTCCCATTCCTGCACCTGTTTCTGGATATCACCAATTTGTTTTTTGGACCATATACTTAGAACCTTGCTAAGCCTTTTCATTTTTGTTTGTAGCCTCTACATAGCATTGCCCCTCACTTCTTCATTCCAAGATATTTGTATGATCTCCAGAAAGTGAGGTTGATTCACCCAGAAGTTCATAAATTTGAAGTATTTGATGTGATTCTGGTTCAAGTTTTGACATTTAAGAAGAAGTGGTCTATGATCAGACCCAGGCCTGGATAGATGCTTAACACAATTGCTTTGAAAATTCTAAGCCCAATCATCATTGATGAGAATTCTATCTAACCTCTTCCATATTCTCTTACTTAGCCTCCAATAGTTTCACCAAGTGTATTTAGGACCTGTAAAGCTAATATCACTTAGTCCACAAGCCTCCATGCAATTGATAAACTCCTTACTTTTTGACATTCTATGTGGAAATTCACCCAGCTTCTCATCCGGTTCCATGATAATATTAAAGTCTCCTCCCATACACCAAGGACCCTTAATTTGATTATGGAGGTTGCCAATACTATCCCAAAGGTCTTCTCTTTCTACTGTAGTGCATTTAGCATAAACAGCTGTCACAAAGGTACCAATCTCATTGGAAGTATCTTTCATGTTTAAGGTGAGTTGTTGATCAGTGTTAGCAATACAAAGGGTGTGATCAAAGCCCTTCCAGAAACACCATATTTGATCATTGGAGTTAGTCATACAGTGTTGAAATCCCAGGTATCTTTTGTAACTTTCAATCTTGTTCATATTCATAAATGGCTCATATATAGCAACAAAAGCCATTTTATTAATGTTGACAAGGTTTTTGAGTCTAAAGTATGATTTCTGAGCCCTTATACCCCTAATATTCCAAAAGATTGCACTGATCAAGGAATAGATGGGGGTGGAGCACTATGTCTATGTCCCTTTCCATTTTTTTTGGATTTGGATATGGACTTAGGTCTGTTGCTTTTTCTTTTTTCTTTATTCTGCTTCTTCCTCTAGATGAAACATCATCTAGACTTCCTTGATTTTGTATGTTGTCAGGATCATTAGGGTCATTGGGATCATTGTTTCTGCTGGATCTGGAATATTCAAAGACAATCCTTAAAAGATCGACATGTCCCTAAAGTCTCCTTCCTCTGAATTGTTGATTGTTGATCATGCTGTAAGTATTGCAGTTTTCCTCCACAAGTTCTTTAGTAAAGTTCTCAGTAGTATCCTTGTTCCTTCTATTCTTGTTCTGAGTATCACCATTTTCAGTAGTATTCTTCCCAAATTCACCACTTACCCCAGGATTGGCATTACCTATCTGTTTTGGATTGCTGCCACACATCAGTTCCACAAAAATTTCAATTCCTTCATGGTTCTTGATATCTGAAGGTAGACTAGGAGAACTAACAATTCCAGCAGCGATAGAATTCCTTTCTTGATGGTCTTGTTTTTTGTTAGTCTACCCCGAATGAATACCATTCTCTTTCTGCACTTCCACTGAGTTACTAACATGTGTTTCTTCTGCTGACACTCCCTTTTCTTGTCCTTTGTTCTATGCCTCTATTTCTTCTCTATTATCATCCTTATTTGTAACTGAAAATTGGGCACTCTGCCCATCTGTCTTGGTCTCCTCAGTATTGTTGCCATTGCTAACTCCTTCCTTCTTTTGTTTCTCTTTGTACTTTCTGGAGATAGACTTAAACACTACCTTGTTTTTCTTTTTGGGCATCTTTTTTTATTTTTTTTCCACTCTTTTTTTCCTTATTACTTTGTTGTACCTGATGCTGATTTTGTGGTTCATGTAGTTCTTCTGCCTCCTTAAGAGTGATTGTATTGTTGTTCTCTTCACTTCCTTGAATCTTTTCATTTTTCAATATTTTCGATGACTTGTGCTTTACTAATATTCTGAGATTGACCTGTGAGTGCATCTTCATTCTCCTTTCCAGATCTTACCAGTTTATCATTAGTATCATTCAGCAGGACATTGCCGTTTCGAGTGCCCTTCTCCTCATCTTGTTTGTTCTGAGTGGCCTTTTTTGTAGACTTTTGTTTTCTTCATTGGAGGCAATATTTTTCTTCTCCAATGCTCTGCAATTGATCATATTGTGTCCTAATTTTCTGCAGTGTTTGCAGTATTTAGGAAAATCCTCATATTCTAGTTTTTGAGTGTAGCTTTTTAGTGGAGATTCATCATATTCTTGACCAACAAAAACAGAGCCAGGTAATGGTTTTAGCAAATCGACCTCTACTCTAATTTTTGTCATACTAGGCCTAGTTCTCCCAAATGTAGCTGCATCTAAGGCCAGAGGTGTACCAACAGATCTCAAGAGTTGTTTGATGTACTGCCAATCATGCATGTGAAAAGGAAGACCTGGTAGCAGGACCCATGCCGAAGCGATAGGGAGGTCCTCCTCCGGTTTGAAATCTGGTGACTATTTTTGAAGCCACATTTGCATACCCTCTATTTCAATAACCCTCTTAAATCACACAATTTTGAAGTCGTCTTCATTGTAAAGATCAATAAAACATTGTTGTTGTCGTAGACACCAATTTTAGCAGCACCTTTCAAAGTAATCAATTCTTTGAATCTAGAGGTCTATCAATTTGGGGACGGGGTTCAAGAAATCAGCCCACAATAGTGTACTTACAGGATTCTGTCATAATGCTATAGTAATCTTTGGCCTTGAATATCACAGCTGGTATCCCATTGTGCGTCGTTTGTCTAGCAATGACTTTTTCTTTGTTCGGCCGGGTAGGGTTCGGTGTTGAAGATGAAGGAGCAGTGACCATTGTAGCATAAGACTGTTTTTCAGTAATTGTTTCATTGTTAAGCTTCATGACTGCTGGTGGGATATTTCCCCCATGTGTACTCGCCGGAAGAGGGCCTTCCGGCGGCTCCATCAGGTGGAGCGTGAGAAAAATGTGCTTCTGTGGAAGGATACGTTACTAGACGTTGCAGAGATAAAAGAGAGAGCTCAGTTCTATGAACAATTTAACTAGATAGATAATGAAGATAGTATCAAGTTTTGTTAATTTGTCAGAGAACAATTGAAAAACATATGCAAGTTTTGTCAATACGACAGAACTTGCGAACACTTTAACAAAAAAGGTAGAATGAAGATAGTATCAAGTGCCAATGAGTCAGAACTTTTGAACAACTACAACAAATGTAAGTTTTGTTAATCCGTCAAACTTGTGAGCAATTTAATAATATAGGTAAAATAAAAAAATATCATCATATCAATCCATGAGAACTTGAGAGTAATTGAATAACAGTACATATAAACTTTGTTAATCCGTTAAAACTTAGTGATTAATTGAATTGAATAAGTAGGATGACGATAGAAGAAAGTCGTTAGAAATATGCTTTAGAAGCTGCTCTCAGTAAAATTATTTTACTGTTTCATCTATTTACTGCAGTAATTTCGTTTGAATTTGAAATAATTTTGAACTAGTCTTTAGGAGTGAACTAGTCTCTAGGAGTTAGTTATTTTCAGCATATTTTGTGCTGATTTTTAGGTCTTTTAAGTTAGTATTTCTCTTATAAATTGTAGTCCAAATGCAGTAAAATTATATAGTATTTTCAGCTTCAGTTCCTTTTACATCTATTCCAGTATATCTTTTATTTTCTTGTCATCTTCCCAGTTATTTCCCTTAATTTCTTTTATCAAGAACCAATAATTAGTATCAAGAGCCATCTTCTTAAGGGACCTAAGTAAAATCTTTTCTTGAGTGAGATGGAGGCTGAAATGAGTTTTTCTCAATTGGCTCCTCCAGTCTTTGATGGTGAAAATTACCAACTGTGGGCAGTGAGAATGGAGACTTACTTGGAGGCTTTAGATCTTTGGGAGGTCGTGGAAGAAGATTATGATGTTCTTCCGCTGCCTAACAATCCCACGGTGGCCCAGATCAAGAGTCATAAGGAAAAAAAAACCAGGAAATCAAAGGCGAAAGCAACTTTGTTTGCTGGTGTGTCTGCAACAATTTTCACGAGAGTTATGGCTCTCAAATCAGCAAAAGAAATCTGGGATTATCTGAAGGGAGAATATACAGGAGATGAAAGAATACGAGGCATGAAGGTGTTGAATTTAATAAGGGAATTCGAGTTGCAGAAAATGAAGGAATCTGAGACTGTCAAAGAATACTCAGATCGGTTGCTTGGCATTGTTAACAAGGTAAGATTGCTTGGTACTAAATTTAAAGATTCAACAATTGTTGAAAAAATTCTTATTACGGTGCCTGAAAAATATGAAGTATCCATAACTACCTTGGAAAATACAAAGGATCTATCCAAGATTACCTTGGCAGAATTGTTAAATACATTGCAGGCACAAGAGCAAAGGAGGCTTATGAGGCAAGATGGTATGGTTGAAGGAGCCCTGGCAGCCAACCATAAAACTCAAAGCAAGGGTAATAATGTTAAAAAAATTACCCGCCTTGTCAGCACTGTGGCAAAAAAGGTCATCCACCATTCAAATATTGGAAGAGGCCAGATGCAAAGTGCAAAATTTGCAACCAACTTGGTCATGAAGCTGTAATTTGCAAAGGCAAATATCAAAAGTATGAAGCAGATGCCCAAGTCGCCAATAAAGAAGAAGAAGATCACTTGTTTGTGGCAACTATTCTTTCAAACCAAAAAATCTGATTTTTGGTTGATTGACAGTGGTTGTACAAACCACATGACATATGACAGAAATCTTTTCAAAGAGTTCACGTCTATAGGAAATAAGAAAGTCAGAATTGGAAATGGTGATTATATTCTTGCTAAAGGAAAAGGAACTGTTGCAATCCCAACAAATTCAGGTACTAAGAAAATTTCAGATGTTCTTTATGTTCCTGATATTGATCAAAATTTATTAAGTGTTGGACAACTAATGGAAAAAGGATTTAAAGTATCCTTTGAAGATAAATATTGTTTCATTTATGATGCAACTGGACTTGAGGTTTTAAGGGTTAAAATGAGAGGTAAAAATTTCTCATTTGATCCAACCGAAGATGAAGAATGGAGTCAAAAGAATCTACTAAGTGCAGGTATTCTCCAACTGAGGACATATGTGAAAATAAGGTAAGGAAGAAGTTGTCAATATTTCAGAAAATGCAATTCTGGAAGAAAGTTGACAAGTCTCAAGGCAAGATGCAAATGAAGCTGAAAAATGAGCCAACTTATTTCATTAACAATCATGAGATGCAGCAAAATACAGAAGTGAACTCGATTCACTGCAAGTCCAAAGATCAGTTGGCAGATTTACGTACAAAGTCGCTTCCAGTTAAAGGTTTACAAGGGACAAATTCAGAATTTGCAGCTTCAAAAGAAAGGAGGAGTGTTAGAAATATGCTTTAGAAGTTGCTCTCAGTAAAATTATTTTACTGTTTCAGCTATTTACTGCAGTAATTTAGTTTGAATTTGAAATAATTTTGAACTAGTCTTTAAGAGTGAACTAGTCTCTAGGAGTTAGTTATTTTCAGCATATTTTGTGCTGATTTTTAGGTCTTTTAAGTTAGTATTTCTCTTATAAATTGTAGTCCAAATGCAGTAAAACTATATAGTATTTTCAGCTTCAGTTCCTTTTACATCTATTCCAGTATATTTTTTATTTTTTTGTCATCTTCCCAGTTATTTCCCTTAATTTCTGTTATCAAGAACCAACAAAAGTTTTGACGCTTAGTCAATACTTTCCTCACTTGATTGGGAGGATTATAACATAAGAGCAAAATGGAATTTTTCAAAAGTGAAATGGTATCATCGTAAACGAAGCATGCAAATTTTCATGTACTAATATAGTTTTTACACAATTTTCATTTGAAGTAGAAAAATCTATATGCACTACATGAAGTAAATTATCAAATCAATAAATGTATATTATGTATCATTTATTTTTAGACAATAATTATGTTTACTCTAAAAGCGGATAACAATTTAATTTATACTGCAGTTTTAAGGACACGTGATTTGCTTAGCACAAATTGAGTGAAAACATAAATTGATAATGGAATTAACTGCGAATATAAATAAAGCAAACCAAATAAAATTTATAGCTTTGATCCTTGAGCTAGGTTGCCCTCGAATCAAGTGAATATTTCGCCGGAAAGTATGAACACGACAACAGAAATATTGAGAGCCTAAGAATAAGAGAATATATTGAATATGTTACCCTTTACAAATGGTCAGACCGCCTTTATATAGTAGGGGAGTCTTATTGTTGGTACAATTCTAAATACAATAAGAAATCCCATGATTGACTGATTAATCGGCCTCTTCTTGATACGTGCCGAGATTTGCGCCGTGATCCTCACCCGAATGCAGATATTTTGTCTTTTAGTTATTCGACCCAGTAAGCTTCCCTCGATCTCTATCTTATTCGGTCCCGATCTTGATCGATCTCGATCTCATTCAGTTTTGATTTTGGTAGGTTTCGGTCTCAATCGGTCTCGTGGTCTCGAGTTTGACAACCTAACCCGACACCACAGTTTGATATAAATCAAAGTCGATCCTTGACTTATCATGCTCCTCCCTCGATCAGCTGCTTAAGAAGGGCAAGCCCGATTTTGACCGTATACAGATAGTCCCCTCGTTTTTTAGAGAGTAATGACAAGAAACGACTTGAGTCCTCGATATTCACCTCGATAAATCATGACGTAAGCACCATGACATAATCAACAGAGGTAACCGAAACGTCTCGTCGGTACAATTTCCTGGGAATTTAATGCGAGCCAGTTGACGGTCGGCCACTACCGGATTTGAACCGTCATATTAAACCTATAAATATATCTTTCTTCATTTTTAAAACTTTACTTACAAATCTTCTTCCCTCTAATCTTCAAAATCCTTTGCCTTCATCAAAGCTTTGTATTTTCAGATCTCAGAGTTTCTTTACTTGTTTCATCACAAAATACCAAGTGTTCCTCTGTTTTATTCTTATCCATTTACAAAAATGGCTAAGACTTCAAAAATCGTTCCACAAAAGGAAACCGCTTATTCATCAAGGCGCGCCGGCGACGGAGTCGTGGCGGAACCTCCCCTAGAGGACTTCGTTATGACAAAGTGCCCCACTGCTGTCGATTTTAAGGTAGAGAACACGTCCTCGACATTGGGTCTATGCAAACCGATGTCGAGATACATATGCACAATTACTGTCGGTCTTCTCGACCAAGTTAAAAAGGACGCAACTGGGTTGACAAGCACGTGGTGGTACCCTCGCCTGAGGAATCAATCACTACTCATGTGGAAGGGTTTTTAAATGTTTACACTTATCCTTTCACATTGGGTCCTTTAGAACCCATCATTGTTGCCTTCTGCAAGAGGTACAATGTGACTCTTGGCCATATCCATGCATCATTCTGGAGGATCGTGATCCTCCTCCGATTTTTTGTAAACAAGATCGAGGGGCATCCTTTTACCCTCGATCGCCTTATGCGTCTTTACAGTCCCAGTCTTTATCGAGGGGGTTTGATCAAGCTTTACGACCGAGCCACCAAACCCCCATACTCTAGCATAGACGAGACCAGAGACCGTGTTTGGATGGGCCGATTTGTCCGAATAAAGACTTCGGACCTAATCCCTGCCGAAGACATGCCATTTCTTGAAAAATGGAACATGAATCGTAAGTATTGCTTTGCCTTGAATATCTAACTTTGCCGTTTTACTTCTCATCTTCTTTCCTCATCTAAGTTTTTTGTGTTGCAGCCGTGGCCCACATGCCGGAAGTAATCCACGATCTCAGACAATAGGTCGAGGGCTTAGTGTCGTAGAAGTCTTACTCCGAGCATGCTTGGATGGAGTTATCAAAGGATCAATGGGAGGCCCGTAACCATGGTAATCTTCTTTTCTTATAACGGTTTCCATTCGGGCTTCGCATTGAAGTTACTCGTCTTTTTCCTTTTGTAGGCCTCGGTAAGGATGTAGCAATGAGGCCCCCCTCTGCTGAAGAAAAGGTGCTTTCCCCTCCACCTGCCTCGAAGCAGGCCAAAGAGAAGAAAAGGAAAGGGGCTCCGAGCTCTCTAAGCTCTCCAGGCCCGGAAAAGAAAAAACCAGCGAGGAGGCCCCGTAAATCTAAGGGACGTCATCCACCTAACTTTGGAGTCAGTCCAACAGCTAAGGGATGAGGCCGAAGAAGACGAAGAAGAAGAAGACTCTGGGCTAGTGGCCTGTGTGCGAGCTGGCACCGAAATTCAAGGAACCACTAGGCCGGCGATAGTTGAAACTACTCAGCCTCGATTAGACGAAATCCTCGAGCCAGAAAGAGCTGAAGACGCTTCACCTCGAGGTGAGGAAGCTACTAAGGAGGCGATCGATGATGGTGTAGAAACCATGCTTGAGGCTTCTCTAGATGAAGGCGGATCCCCAAAAGATTTACTTGGGGTAATAGAGATTGGAGATTCCCCCTCGTTGCCTTCGTTTTCTGATTCGATGATCAAGGACGCTCAAGCGATAGAGACTTGCCATGATGAAGGGATCCATGGAGCAGAATACCCTTTCCGTGGTTATTTTGTTGGATTGAAGATGTCACCGGTCTGGGTGACTTGGATGTACCGAGGAAGGGCTCGAGTGAGGCTTCCTCGAGCTTTAATCTGACCAATCAGTCTTCAACCCCCAATGTCGATCCTGGGCGTAAGCGATCAATTATCATCTCGGTCCCGGAGGATGCTCGGGTTCATTCTGCCCCCATAGGGGTGGCTAGCTATCTCTGATGCTTAGTCACCGAATAGGACCAAGCCAAGATGGACGAGGTGGAAGTTGTTTGTTTGTTCAACGAGGCCCAGCATGCTCTGAATCGGGTAAGTTCGAGGGTCATTCCATTATCTTTTTGAAACTTTGATTTATAAATAGTTCTAACATTTTCTTCCTTACTTGTAGGCTTCGATGTTGCATCACGAGGCCTTCTTTCGAATCCAAGGAGTGAAAAGCTGAGGTTCGGGGCCTCACGGAGAAATGTGATACCTAAAAGCTTCTGAGTGAGAAGCTTCAGACAGATTTGGCGACGGCTCGAGATGAGCATGCTGAGATGGCCGAGCAGGAATTTCGAGTACTTCATGATAGTGAAGATAAATTGGAGATAACAACTAATGATCTGATTCTGCATGTTCGACAGAGGTTCGAACAGATCAAGGACCTTCAAAGGAAAATAGATGAAGTACAATCTGAGGCTGAAAAGGTGTATGGACATATTAGCTTCAAAAAAGGAGGCCGTCCAAGCAGAGCTGGAGTCGGCCGAGTCTCAGCTTCGGGCTGCAAGGGAGAATGCCTCGGTTCAGGAAATAAAGGAATGCTCTCTTCTCTCTCCTAAAACCCTAAAACTTGAAGCCTAAACCTAGCGTCCATGGCAATGGCGGCCACTGCCCAGCCTTCATTGGAGGTTGGGCAGTCGACCTCTGATCCTAAGTCAATCCCTCAAACAACTATTAACCCAAATGCAAACCAAAACTACGCAAAACTGCTCCAGCCACAAGCATTAAATGCTCCCATGCACGTGAACAGTGTAAACCTAAAACCAGTCGAGTTTTTGCATGGAGAACCAATGGTGAGATGGAAGAAAACTGAGGTTAAACAATCAATAATCCAACAAGGATTGCATCTGGAAGTCCTGGGGAAGTTTTCATATGGCAAACCTGTGATCCAAGAATTGAGGAAGGCAATTCCAATTCAGTGTGAGCTTAAAGGATCATGTTACGTTGGCTTGATTGAAGATTCGCATGTTCTGATTAAGTTATCGTTAATGGGGGATTATATTCACTTGTTATCGAAGCCAGCTTTTTATTTGAAAGCACAAGGTGAATTCTGGCAGATGAGATGTACAAAGTGGAGTCCTTGGTGGTCTCCTGATGTTGAGACACCAATTGTCATCGCTTGGATATCGTTTCAGGATCTACCTCCTAATTTCTTTGTTAAGGACTTTGTCTTTTCATTGGCTAATGCAGTAGGTAGACCATTGCACGTTGATTTGGTTACTCAAAATGGCACAAGACCTAGTTGTGCTAAGGTTAAGGTGGAGGTTAGTCTACTTGCAACATTGCCCCAAAGGATAAAGATCATTGAAGAAGCAGATGAAACTGGACCTGAGGAATCGAAGTGGATCAAAATAAGGTATGACTACATGCCTAAGTATTGTAAGACGTGCAAGAAACAAGGACATATTGAGATGGAATGCTGGGTAATTCACCCAGAATTGCATAAAAGTTTCAGTGATGAAAGCAAGGATCAAGGCAAGGAGAAGACAATGGTGGTGAGTTCTGATGCTATAGGCACAACTGCACAGTCAACTAAGGTGCTAGCAAGTGGAAAAGTGGTTGGAAAGCCTGCCAATAACAATGCTAAACAGGAATGGATGCAAGCTGGGAAGAATAAATATCAAAGAGATAAGAGAGGTTACATTATTAATGAAGTAAAAGAGGACAACAAGGGCAAAGGGAAGCTTAAGGAGGAGGCAGTGGAGTCCAAAAACAAATTTGAAGCATTGGAAGTAGAGGAAGATGCTCAACTAATATTGACAATTACGGATGGCAAAGTAGATGGTAAGGACAAGAACGAAAAGAAAGAACAAGCATTCAAGGGAACTAGCAAGGACCAGCAGCAGGAAAAGAAGAAGAATGGAAAGCATCAACCCTCCAATCCTAATCTTAATGGGATTGGGGGAGGTGATTCAAGTAAGTCGACAGGCAAGGAAGGTGTAAAGTCTTCTTTAAATAAGGAAGAATTTGATGTGAGAAAAGTGAAAAAGGAAGCAGTGGAGAATGCAAATAAGGAAAGGGAGGCAGCTCTTATTCCTGTTGATACAAGGACAGATGTTGAAACTACAAAAGAAAGTACCATAGATTGGGTGCTTAGGAGATTTGGGACAAATAAGGAGGAATTAAGGCAGAGCAATGTGACTACCAACAAGTTATGGCAAGATACTCCCTCCCAAACTTATGAAGATTCCGGACATATAAATGAGTTCAAGAAGGTTAATTCAGATAAGACCCTATGGAGTGAAGAGGTTGAGGTATTGGAGAATCAGCAAAGGGAGGAACAGGGGATAGGAGACAATGCTGAGGATAATTTGAATTCTGTGATGGATCAAGAAGGGAAACAAATTGGAGAGGATAAAGGAGCATCTAGGGAAACTGGAAATTTATATAGGACTGATCAAACAGATCAGTGCCAGATGGAGGGAAATGGAACAATAACTTCTGATAAAACTGGGAGTATTTTAGCATATGTAGATGGAGGTCCTAGTAATGCATTGATGAAGGGACCTGATGAAGAGGTTCCTATGAAGGTTATAGATGGGACAATGAGGTTAGAGCAGCTGACAGGACAAAGGAGGATGGGTGAATCCAATGGAACAGTAACTCCTGTGCAGGCAACTACAGTAAATCCTGGCCTTGGCAATGTCTATGAGATGCAATTCAAATTGATGCAGGCTGCTATAACTACCATAGAACGGGCCAAGGAGAATGAATTGAGTAATGTACAGGTAGAGCAAGCAATTGTACCAAGAGAGGCTGGGGATCTACAGGAGGTACCGATGGAGATTGGAACTGATAATAATGTAGTACCACTTGATGAAGAAATACTAGGCCAAACTACAATGGAGGATGAAGGAGAAGATGAATCTACTGTTGAAAATTTCAAGCAAGTGGCTAGAGAAGGGGACCTATCACCTACAACCAGTACTAAGGGAGGTAAGAAGACAAAGAAGAATCACAATAAAGAATCTGCTCAACCTACAAGAATTATGCCTAGGAGGGCAGCCTCATTAACTAAATGATGATGATTAAGACACTCATTTGGAACATAAGGTCTGTGAAAACTCAACAGGCCTTTCCTAGAGTGGTCAATATGAATAGGGAGCATAATTTTTGTGTAGTTGCATTGATGGAACCTTTTCAAAAGAAAGGAGTCATTCATAGATATAGAAGGAGGCTGAATATGGAGACTGCTTATGCAAATATTAATGGGCAAATATGGTTATTTTTTGATTCAGTAGTTGAATGGGAACTAGTGGAGGATACTGAACAACAAGTAACAGTGAAAGTATTTCACCATGAGTTGGGACAGCACATGATGATGACATTTGTCTATGCCAAGTGTTCAGCAGTAGAGAGGCTAGAATTATGGGATCATTTGTACTATCTAGCAAGTGATATGAAGCTGCCATGGTTAGTAGGAGGAGATTTTAATGTAGTGTTGCATGAAGATGAGAAGATAGGGGGATTGCCTGTACACCCTCCTGAATATGAGGACTTTGCCTTTTGTGTAAACTCTTGTGGTTTGTTTGAACAAGGGTACAAAGGGAGTCCATTTACATGGTGGAATGGGAGACCTAATGCTCAATGTATATTCAAGAGGCTGGATAGAATATTTGTGAATTTGCCTTTTCAGAATATGTTGCCTACCATTGAAGTGGAACATCTTATTAGAAATGGTTCAGATCATGCTCCTTTGCTGATGACTTGTGGTGAGCAGACTGTCACTTGTGTCAAGCCATTCAGACTTTTTAACTTCTGGATCAAACATGCTACGTTCAAGGAGGTGGTGAAGCAGAATTGGGAATCTGACTTTATAGGTGATCCTTTTCTTATGTTCAAGCAAAAACTCAAGAAAGTAAAGGCATTTTTATCAAAGTGGAGTAGGGACACTTTTGGAGATATATTCAAGCAATTGGCTATACTTGAAGATATAGTTAAGGTAAAGGAGATTCTGTTTGAAGAGGAACCAACTATTGAAAATAGAATTGTACTGCAAAAGGCTCAATCAGAGTTGAAGAAATATCTGAGCATAGAGGAGCAATATTGGAAACAAAAGGCTGGTCTGAATTGGTTTGCTGAGGGGGACAGGAACACTAGCTTTTTTCATAATCATGTGAATGGATAAATAAAGAAGCTACAATTGAAAAGGATCCAGAATTCTAGTGGGGTGTGGATTGAAAATCAAAAGCAAATGGCTGATGCTGCAGTGGAGTTCTATAGAAGACAGTTCTCTAATAAAGGGGATACTTCTGATTTATCATTATTAGATCATGCACCAACCATGGTTACATTGGAGCAGAATATGGAGTTAAGTAGGATGCCAACATTTGAAGAAGTGAAGGGAGATGTGTTTGAACTCAGTGGTGAAAGTGCTAGTGGTCCTGATGGATTTACTGGTTTGTTCTATCAAACTTGCTGGGACATTGTTGGTAGAGATATACACAATATGGTAATGCACTTTTATGGGGGAGCAACACTGCCAAAATCCATAACACACACTAATCTAGTCCTATTGCCAAAGAAGCTTAGAGTGGAGACTTTTTCTGACCTAAGACCTATCAGTTTGAGCAATTTTACTAACAAGGTGTTGTCTAGGGTGCTACATGACAGATTGGAGAAGTTTTTGCCATTACTGATATCACATAATCAATCAGGATTTGTGAAAGGCAGGAGTATCTTTGAGAACATATTATTGACACAAGAGATAGTGACAGATGTAAGTCTAAGGGGCAAGCCACTAATGTGGTTATTAAGCTGGATATGGCTAAGGCTTCTGACAGAGTTTCATGGAAATATTTGTTACATGTGTTGAGAAAGATGGGATTTTCAGAATATTTCATTAACATGGTTTGGAATTTGGTGTCAAACAATTGGTATTCTGTATTGGTGAATGGACAGGCTTCAGGATTTTTCAAGTCAACTAGAGGGGTAAAGCAAGGTGATCCCCTGTCCCCAGGATTGTTCATATTATCAGCTGAGGTGTTATCAAGATCATTAAACAAACTGTTTGATGATAGATCTTTTGTAGGGTTTGGGATGCCTAAATGGTCTGATCCTTTGAATCATCTAGCTTATGCTGATGATACCATTATATTTTCATCTGCTCATCCTCCATCTTTGAGCAAAATAATGGAAGTGTTGGGTGATTATGAGAAAGTATCAGGTCAGATGATAAACAAAGCAAAGAGTTCCTACTACATGCATGCTAAGGTGGCACATGGTCTAGTCAAAGCAGTGGGGGATATCACTGGTTTCACAAGAGGTAAATTCCCTTTCACATACCTTGGATGCCCTATTTTCTATACTAGAAGGAGGAAAGAGTATTATGATGATCTTATCAAGAAGGTGAAAGCTAAGCTACACTCATGGAAAGGTAAGTTATTATCATTTGGGGGGAAAGAAACACTCATATCTAGTGTATTACAAAGCATGCCAGTTCATATGCTCTCAATACTGGACCCTCCAAAGAACATTTTAGTACATCTGCATAAGTTGTTTGCAAGATTTTTCTGGAGTACAAAGGAGGAGGGAAGAAGCAGGCACTGGTCTTCATGGCAAAATCTATGTTTACCCAAAGAAGAAGGGGGATTGGGATTCAGATCTCTAAATGATGTCTCGAAGGCTTTGTTTGCTAAGCTTTGGTGGAAGTTTAGAACCACAAAGTCTCTGTGGTCCAACTTCATGTGGAACAAATATTGTAAGAAGGAGCTGCCAACAGTAGTCCAGTTTAGAAGAGGATCCCATGTTTGGAAGCAAATGATAAATGCCAGGGAAGAAGTAGAGCATGAGATTCTATGGGAGTTGAAGAGTGGAACAAAAAACATATGGCATGAGAATTGGACAGGTTTGGGAGCTCTATATCATGTACTTCCTGAAGAGTTTCCTATCAATGAAGAGCTACAAGATGTAGCAGAATTAAGACTGGAAGGAACATGGAATGAAGATCTACTGGAACAAAACTTTACTGAGGAGATTGTTGATCATGTCAGGTCAAATATACATTATGAGGGCAATGAGGAACATTGGGATAAGCCATACCGGATGCCAACTGCTTCAGGTAAGTTCAGTGTAACTAGTGCTTGGCAAATTATAAGACATAGATCAGATCCTAATCAGGAATTCAAGCATATGTGGATAAAAGGGCTTCCTTTCAAGATATCTTTCTTTTTATGGAGACTATGGAAGGGGAGAATACCTACTGATGATGTTTGGAGGAGACAAGGACAGATGGTAATGTCTAGATGCTGGTGTTGTCAACAACCACAAGAAGAAACTATACAGCATATTTTCCTTACAAGTGCTACTGCCTCTAAAGTGTGGAATTTGTTCATGGGAGCTGCAGCAATCACAGTGCCATTGGTGCAATTGAAACAAGTCATCAGACACTGGTGGAATGCACAATGTTGTCCAAAACTAAAGCCACTATTTCAAGCAGTTCCAACTATTATTACTTGGGAATTATGGAAGAAGAGAAATGCAGGAAAATATGGAGGTTCAGTTACTACACATAGGGTGATCCATGAAGTTAATAGAACATTACATTATTTGGCAAATGTGAGGTATGCTTGGCTACCTAATATTCCTTTGTTATGGCCAGATATGATCCAGTATTTTGAAGGATACAAACCTGTTATAATTACAAGAAGAATTACTTGGCAGCTTCCTTTCCAAGGATGGTATAAATGCAATACAGATGGTGCATCAAGGGGTAATCCAGGTCCTAGCTCACTTGGTTTTTGTGTGAGGAATGATGAAGGGGACCTAATTTATGCAAGGGCAGTCGACTTGGGGGAGACAACAAATGTAGTAGCTGAGGCAAGGGCTATTGTTCAAGGGCTAGAGTACTGTGTAGAACATAATCTTCACCCTCTCATTTTGGAGACAGATTCACTGGTGATGAAGAAGGTGATTGAAAAGGAATGGGATACTCCATGGACAATTAGTCAGGAAGTGAGGAGGATTAAGGAGATTATGGACAATTTCAATGTGATCATTCAGCATGTGTTCAGAGAAGGAAATGTTGTGGCAGACTTTATAGCTAACATTGTTTTTTCTTTTGCAGGTACATCAGAATTTCATTCATTCTCTGAACTGCCTAGTGCAGGGAGGAGGTTAATCAATCTTGATAAAAATCAAACTCCTAATCTTAGGATCAGAATAGCTAAGAGGAGAGCACCAGACTGATGGTTTCATATGGTTTGACACTGCACATATTTGTTTATCTCTTTTGGTCTGTTTTATACAGTGTGTTGTTAGGGTACATGTCAGTGGTATTAGCATGGTTACATGCTCATTCTGAAGGTACCTTGATAGTGCACAAGAGTTGTAGGAGAAGCAGATTATGGATGGTGCAGCATTACATAGAAATGAGAAGTCCAAATATGAAAGAACTACCTGAACGTATGCTTGTAAGATTCTGGAGATTAGTATTACACTTCCCAGTGGTATCAGCATGGTTTCATGCTCATTATGGGAGTGTGATGGCAAGGTTCAGAAGAAGTCAGGCATCTATAGTTCTGGCAGTAGTAGTTAGTCTATGTTTGTTATGGCTAGGTAAGGCTAATGATCAGCACAGGTTAAGAGATCAAGTCGCAATGGTCTCACATGAACATATAGCCCACAAAAAGGAAGCTGAATCTGCTCATTGGTTCTTGCATCTGTCTCATTCCTCATTACTATCGTTCATTTGCTTAGTTATTATATGTGTACTGGGTTGTCATATTTCAGTGGTATTAGTGTGTTTACACACTCATTCTGGAGATGATAATGTAGTATACATGATCATATTGATGAGGAAGCAGATGGAAAATACTTGCTGGAATGAAACTCATTGGAATTACATGATAAATGGAGAGATTTTGCTGAATTCAATCGATTGGTGTAGCTGTTTGGAGTCCATATTTGCCTTTGGAATGCATACCCTGGCGCCTGGTGAGAGCATTAGAGGTGCTGCTTGCTATTTGCCTTTGGCCATTGGATTCACGTACACTGACAGGAGATTGAAACATTCAGCTATTCATTTTGTAATAGCTAGTCTTGTTATTTATATCTTCTTAGAATTTATAGTAGCTAATAGATTAGTACATATGGTTTGGACATCTTGTATGTTTTGGACCCTATTTTGGGATTTTATATATATATATATTAGCCACTAGGCAGCATGCCTAGTGGTATATTTGCTTTAAAAAAAAATTTAGCCAACCGGGCCAAAGAGCTCTAGGTGGCCAGATCTGAGGCGGCCGCGACCAATAATAAGGCCTAGGCTAATGCGACCCAATACAAGGTTGATGTTGAATCCACCTTACCGCAGGCCAAGAGCATGGTGGATCATGCGAGATGGCAAGCTCTACGGGAGGCCCTCGAGGGGGCCCGTGATCAAAACTCTAATATATCTGCTGAAATCGAGATTGCTAGGGCAGTGGAAACAAAGGCTCGGAAGCTGTCTTTTCCCGAGGAAGACTCCGAGAATTTAAGCAAATCCGGTGGTGGAGAAGACTCTGAGGGCAAAGATGCCTCTTCTAATAAGGGCCAAGCTGCTTAGGCTTTGTGACTTTTGTAATTTTTTATTTTTATTTTGAAGCCTATCGGCCCTTGTAAAGAACTCTTAATCGGGCCATATGGCCCTTGTAAACAGGCTTTTGAGATATATTTTAAAAGTTTTCTTCCCTTCCATGTCTTCTGAATTTGCTGCCTTTTTGTTAGTTTATACAAAGGTCGAAGTGCCTTAGCATGAAATAATGGGATCGCATTCGAAGCTTTGAGATGGTAAGGACCGATGTTCAGCACTATCCTCGACCATTCCTGATCGGTAAACCTCGATAGAAAGCTCGAATTCGAACTGAGGCAGTTTTATGCCAAGTGAGATCATTTATTTGAACTTGAATTAAGGTAACCCTTAAGTTTGATAGCCGAGTGAGAGTGGTTTCTCAAAATCGAAAAAAAAAGTAACCCTTAGGCTTTAATAGTTGAGTTAGGTCTTGCCTGCACTCGAAATAAGATAGCCCTTAGGCTTTCTAGTCGAGTGAGAATGATCTCTCGAACTCGAATTAAAAGTAGGCCTTAGGCCTTTGTATTTTACTTTCTTTTGTTTTTGGCCGATATGGATTTTGTGAAACGATCGTTTATATATATATATATATATATATATATATATATAAGGCTTTCCACCTTTTTCCGCCCTAAAATTTTTCTTTTGCTTTATTGCTTGTATTCACAAAGGTTGGAATGTCTTAACACTAAATAATAAGTTTGTGTTCGAGGGTTAAAACAAAACTTGCCTTTATTGCCCTTCTGGTTAAGGCGTTATCAGGTTTCGTGTTTACCGAAGTTTTTTCCCGAAAATATCTTAAGTTTAAGGTTATGCCGAGGGTAGCCTTTAGAACTGGTTGTGAAAGATTTTTTTTTTCCGAAGGCCTATATTTGTTACGGATTTCGGACGTCTCCAAACTATGTTAAATGGGCCGTAGCCTTTTAGTTCGGGTGTAGCTCAGTGAGCTCGCTTTTCTGATTTATCCAGGCTTGCCTAAGATAATAGTCCCCCGAGTGGGAATGGCCGTGGCCTTTAAAATTCGAGGGTTGCCTAAAAGGTCTTATGTCCTCGATGTTTAATAGTTCGATCTGTTCGAGTTTATTTTATGGACGGAAGTCCCTAAGTTTTGGGGTGAATATCCGAAATCCGGTTGCAATCGGTCCTTGGGTTCGTTTCCATAATAAGTCGAAAGTATGGGGTTGTAAAGTAGAAACTTTTCCAAGATATTAAATAGTTTCAAGGAAAGTACTTCTCTTTATTCTTGTAAAAAACAATCGCACATGCGTACTTGTTTCACGTCAGTGCTCGAGTAATCTATGTGGGAACGGTTCGTTTTGACCATTTCGCCCTTACAATTAATCCTACCTATTGAGACCCTTTTATTTCGAAATAATTTCCTTGCTAGAATAATTCAATATCAAAGGGTAATCCCCCCTCCCCCCCCCCCCCCCCCCC